ACGCAGATCACCGCGGGATCTCGCCGTCCCTTGAAACTGTCGCCACAGTTGTGGGATCCTGGGAGGCTCAGCGGAGGTGCCTTCTACGCATGAGGCCTCACCGTCCCCTAAGGGGCTGCGATCTGCGAAATTGTCGCCACTTTCGGGGGAGTCATGGGAGCCCCAGCGGGGGTGCGTCTTTCGCAGATCAGCACGAGACCTCGTTGTCCCTTGGGGGGCTGCGATCTGCGAAATTGTCGCCACGTTCGTGTGCTTCTGGGAGGCCCAGCGGAGGTGCGCCTTGCGCAGATCACCACGAGACCCTTGGGGGGCTGCGATTTGCGAATATGTCACCACGTTCTTTGGTTCCTTGGAGGCCCAGCGAAGGCGCGTCTGGCGCAGATCACCACGAGACTTCGCCGTCCCCTGGGGGGGCTGCGATCTGCGAATATGTCGCCATTTCCGCGGGCTCCTGGGAGGTTCAGCGGGGGATCCCCGCCCCCTCGGTCCCGCCCCTAGTCCTCTCTGGTGCCTCCTCTGGGGCCTTGCATGAGCATTTCTGGGACCCTTCGGTGGGCCGTTTCCGCTGTGTAAATTGTTGGGCCAGCTCGGTTTCCAAGAGCTACTTATTGCGATCTCAGTGCTCCTCTCCCACTGGCGGTGGGCACGTGCTCAGGCGGCTAAATGATATTTTTTTTTGTCGCCGCTGTGGCCGCTACTCGTGTAAGAAGGTGCTTGATTTAACGAAATCTTGCACTGGCCCTCCACGGGCCTCTGGTACCATCTCACGGCTCCGCCGCATGTGTGATGGACGTGACCCCCGCACTGATCAACCAGTCGGCGATGTCACTGCCGTTGACAATGTCAACGTTATATATGCCTTTCCTGACCCTCATGATATCTTTAATGTTCAGGCTCTGTTCGATCCTGCATGGCTTTTAGAGTCCCCGTAGGTACCTCGGGGTTAACATCGGAGGTGGGGGGTGGATATATCATGGGATATCTGGTTTGTCTCGTCTGTGTGATGCTGGCAGGACTTCTTGGATCCCCGACACCAACCCGCCAGAAGTGTAGGTTTTATCGCCAGGTGTGCCGACACGTCTAGGTCGTGCCAAATCTCATGCGCCGACACGTCTGTAGTCGGCTAGGCTTGGGGATAAGTGGGTGCAGAGGCGCTGAGAAGCAGGCGCCCGTTCCGCCTGCGCCCACTCATCCCCCTTTTGTGCTGTTGTCACGCCTCCCCCCGCCCAGGCTCGCAAAGAGAAAGACTCTTGCTCCGCCTGCCGCGCGGGGTGATATCAGCGCATGCCTCTCTAGTTTATGCCACGAATCTCTCTGCCAGTCGAAATGTCCCTGTGCCGACACGTCAGGGCTCGTCGATTAGGCCTGAGGATGAGTACAGAGGCGCTGAGAAGCAGAAGGCACCCGTTCCGCCTGCGCCCACTCAGCCTCATTTGCGCTGCCGTTTTCGCCCTTCCCCCGCCCAGGCTCGCAAAGAGAAGCACAGAGAAAGACTCTTGCTCCGCCTGCCGCGTGGGGCGACATCATTGCATGCCTCTCTAGCTGATGTCATCTCTCTGCCAGTCGAAATGTCCCTGTGCCGACACGTCAGGGCTCGTCGATTAGGCCTGAGGGTGAGTGGGTACAAAGGCGCTGAGAAGCAGGCACCCGTTCCGCCTGCGCCCACTCATCCTCCCTTGTGCTCTTTGTCGCCCCCCCCAGCCCAGGCTCGCGAAGAGATAAAGGGCTCTCCGCTGCCGTGCTGCTTCGTGTCATGTTTGTACGCTGCTGCCTGGCCAGAGGTTGAGGCTGGAAGCCCAGGAGCCAGGACACGGGCTTCAAATTTAAGCGCCAGGTCTTGCCAGCATCGCTTGTCTCGGGCCTTCGGTTTTTCGTTGTCCCTGTTTTTCGGTCCGGTCCCTCGCTCGGCTCTGTCTGGGTCCTGGTCCGTCCCTCGCTTCTTTCGGCCCTTCCTGCGGGCCCCTCGCTCGTCGTTTCGGCGCCACGGGCAGGAGTGTTCGGCAGACGATCACCCGCGCGCAAATCAAAAATACGCACTACGCAGATCACCACACGATCTCGCCGCCCCCTTGGGGGACCGCGATCTGCGAAACAATCGCCACTTTCGTTGGCCCCTGGGAGGTCCAGCGGAGGTGCGCCTTACACAGATCACCACAAGACCCCGTTGTCCCTTGGGGGGCTGCGGTCTGCGAAACTGTCGCCATGTTCGTTGGCTCCTGGGAGGCCCAGCGGAGGTGCGTCTCACGCAGATCACCATGAGGCCTCGCCGCCCCTTGGGGGGCCGTCGCCACGTTCGGGGGAGGCATGGGCGGCCCAGCGGAGGTGCGTCTTACGCAGATCACTACGAGACCTCGCATCCCCTTGGGTGGCTGCGATCTGCGAAATTGTCGCTGCTTCCGTGGGCTGGGAGGCCCAGCTGAGGTACGTCTGTGCACATCACCATGAGACCTCGCCGTCCCCTGGGGGGGCGCGATCTTCGATACTGTCGCCGCGTTCGTGGGTTCCTGGGAGGCCCAGCGGAGGTGCGTCTTACGCAGATCACCATGAGACCTCGCCGTCCCCTGGGGGGCTGCGATCTTCGAAACTGCCGCTACTTTCGTGGGCTCCTGGGAGGCCCAGCGGAGGTGACCGCGAGACATCGTTGTCCCATGTGGGTTTGAGATCTGCGAAATTGCATCGACTTTCGTGGGCGTCTGGGAGGCCCAGCGGAGGGGCGTCTTACGCAGATCACCATGACCTCGCCGTCCCCTGGGGGGGGTGCGATATGCGAAACTGTCTCCATTGTCGTTGGCTCCTGGGAGGCCCAGCGGAGGTGCGTCTCACGCAGATCACCATGAGGCCTTGCCGTCCCCTGGGGGGGCTGTCGCCACTTTCGGGGGAGTCCTGGGAGGCCCAGCGGAGGTGCGTCTTACGCGGATCACCATGAGACCTCGTTGTCCCTTGGGGGGGCTGCGATCTGCGAAATTGCAGCCACGTTCGTGAGCCCGTGGGAGGCCCAGTGGAGGTACGTCTGTGCACATCACCATGAGACCTCGCCGTCCCCTACGGGGCTGCGATCTGCGAAATGGACGCCACTTTCGCAGGCTCCTGGGAGGCCCAGCGGAGGTGCGTCTTACGCAGATCACCATGAGACCTCGCCGTCCCCTGGTGGGCTACGATCTGCGAAACATTCGCCGTTTCCAGGGGTTCCTGGGAGGCCCAGCGGAGGTGCGTCTTACGCAGATCACCATGAGACTTCGCCGTCCCCTTGGGGCTGCGATTTGCGAGTATGTCGCCACTGTTGTGGGATCCGGGGAGGACCAGCGGAGATGCTTCCTACGCAGATCACCGCGCGTCCCTTGGGGGGCTGGGTTGCGACGTTGGGGGGTCCAGCGGTGCCGCTTCCTCGAATTATGTCTCCAATCGTCTCCCCTTCTTATGTTTCCTCACTCCCTCGTGGCCGCCTTCCTGCCAACGATCTGACTCTTAAGGGCGACGCCGCATCTGTGAACATGTGACTCTGGCCTGACGTTCGTTGGCGAATCGTTCAAGGGCACGGCAGATCCTTCAGTGCACGCTTTTGTTTTTTGAGCTGTCCGATGTATAGTCGCTTCATGTGTACATTCTGAGCGGTCCGATGTATAGTCGCCTCATGTGTACAAAGGGTTGGGTACGTCCCTGGGTAATTCTTTACGCTTCGCGTATCCCCACCAGCCCATCTCACAGCAGCAACTATTGCGAAGCATGCCGACCGTCGTGTTTTTCAGGCGTGTGTCCGCGTGGCCCCGCGTATCTCCCCTGTTCCTCCTTCCTCCCGCCTCCTTGTGCATCCTCCTTGTGGGGGGAGCGGGAGAAGGACGAGGCGGAGGAGGAGGGAGAGAAAGCGCTCCTCGTGATTTGAGTCGTTTGGGGTTTCTCGTCCTGGTGTGAGTCGTTCGGGCCCTTCTTCCTGGTGTGAGTCGTTCGGGCTCTTCGTGGTGTGAGTCGTTCGGGCTCTTCGTCCTGGTGTGAGTCGTTCGGGCTTCTCGTGGTGTGAGTTGTTCGGGCCCCTCATCCTGGTGTGAGTCGTTCGGGCCCCTCCTCCTGGTGTGACTCGTTCGGGCTCCTCGTGGTGTGAGTCGTTCGGGGCCCGCGTCGTGGTGTGAGTCGTTCGGGCTCCTCGTGGTGTGAGTCGTTCGGGCGCCTCGTCCTGGTGTGAGTCGTTCGGGCCCCTCCTTGTGGTGTGAGTCGTTCGGGCTCTTCGTGGTGTGAGTCGTTCGGGCCCCTCGTCCTGGTGTGAGTCGTTCGGGCTCCTCGTGGGGCCTCTTGGGGGCCTCTTGGAGCCTCTTGGGGCCTCTTGGGGGCCTCTTGGGGGCCTCTGGGGAGCCTCTTGGGGGCCTCTTGGGGCCTCTTGAGCCTCTTGGGGGCCTCTTGGGGGCCTCTTGGGGGCCTCTTGGGGGCCTCTGGGGGGCCTCTTGGAGGCTTCTTGGGAGCCTCCTGGGGGCCTCTTGGGGCCATCTTGGGGCCTCTTGCGACCTCCTCAGAAGCGCAAATGAGGGCTGCCCCCTGAGAAGGACAAAATGAGCCCAAAACCTTTTGTAAAATCAATGATTTTGCTATGAAGGAAGATGAGCGCGGCCCCCTCAGGAGGCCAAAATGGGGCCAAAACCGTAGTAACATCAATGATTTTGGCTTCAAAGAAGAGCAGAGGGGCCTATCTCCGCCCCCCCGTCGGGGCCAGAATCCTCGTGAGGGTCGTCGTTTTTTGGCCCTCCCAGGAGTCGAAATTGACCCCTCTGACGACCCGCGAAACCCCCTCTCCAGGCCCAGGGGGAGGGGGTAGGGGGAGGGGTAAACCCCTCCCCGAAGGGGAAGAAGGGGGGTTGAGAACAGAGAGGGCTCCCTAAACCACTCACGCCCAAAGGGCTGGTGGGATTTTAAGGGGGGAAAAGGGGGGGATGGGGGGAGGGAGCGAGGGAGGGAGGGAAGGAGGGAGGGAGGAGGAGGAGGAAGGGCGAGATGGAAGATGAGAAAGATTGCAGGACGCCGACGCGCTGGAGTGGTTCCACCCCTCCGACTTTGTCTGCGCCGTCCCCCTGCGGCGGTGCCGGGAGCCCGCCGCTGGCAGGCAGCAGGCCGCGGGGCGCCCGCGCGCCGAGTGCGGGGGGGGGGGAAGGCTGTGTCTGTCGAAGAAGAAACATTCTCGCGTCGTGAAAAAAGCACGGACGGTGTTTCGCCGTTTGCGGCCTTGGGGGGCCTTCGCGGGGCCCCTGGTCCGTCCAAAAACAAGTCGGTCTAAAAAGCCGGTCCCAGGGAAGGGGTTGGGCTTTCCAGGGACCGGATGTAGACAGAATTTGGACATCGGTCTCTGAGTTTGTCGAAGAGCATGCCGCCAGAGCAGGGCTTCCGAGCAGAGATCGACGGCCCCCGTCTCTCTGTCTATTATTCCCAACCCTCCTGCGGTGGGCATTCGTTTAAAATCGAGCACTGCGTTCGCGACCTTCCTTCCCGCCCCCCCGTCTTCTCTCTTCCCTGCTGCTTCTTACCTCGCTCCTTCCTGCCAGCCAGCTTGCCTCCTACCCGGTCATCTCTGTGGGGCTGCGATCGCCACTTTCCAGGGCTGCTGGGGGTGCAGCGGAGTGACGTCTTACGCGGATCACCAGGAGACCTCGCCATCCTCCGGGGGGCTGCGATCTGCGAAATTGTCGCCATTTTCGAGGGCTGCTGGGGGATCGGCGGAGTGACGTCTTACGCGGATCACCAGGAGACCTCGCCATTCCTCGTCGTCGTCGTCGTTGTCATCATCATCCTCATCATCACCATCACCATCGCAATCACCAGGGCTGCGATCATCGTCGTCGTTGCCATCATGATCCTCATCATCACCATCACCATCGCAATCACCATCATCATCATCATCATCATCATCATCATCATCATCATCATCATCATCATCATCATCATCATCATCATCATCATCATCATCATCACCATCATCATCAGCACCATCATCATCAGCAGCAGCAGCATCAGCATCATCGTCGTCGTCCTCATCCTCATCATCACCATCACAATCACCATCATACTCAGACTAATCACAACTACTCTTCCTCCTCTTCCACTCGGACGAACTCTTTCGGCGCCGCGGTAATCATTGGGCCGACAAGGCCGCGAAGCTCGGAGGAGCAATTCACCCTGACGCCTCGGAGGCCGAGCATCAATGATTGGCACATGTATGACCGTGCCGAGAGCTTTTGTGAAGTGTTCGGTCAAAACATGCCCTTCTGGCCTCGTGGATGTCCGAGTGGAGTCCAGCTCGTGCCCAAGCCGTGGGTGGAGCTAAGCCCGCCGCAAGCGCCAAGCGCGTGGGCGCTGGTCGACAGGCCGCCTCGCATCCCGTGGGAATGCTCATTGTGCTCACGAGGTTACTGCTTGGTGCGCACCAGGCACATCAAGGTCCAGCCACACTCCTTGCGCGATCTGGGCCACCGCTGCGCTGTGACTGATTGCAGCGACGTGTGCGCATGCCAGCGCTGCGGGTGCTTCACTGGGGCTCGCTTCGCCAAGCTGGCTGCCCCACGCATTCGTCTCGCTGAGCCCATGATATCCCGCCTCCTCTCCATCGTCCCCGTTCTTCTTCAACCTGACCTCCAGTACAGCACTGGCGGCAGGATCAACAAGCTTGCCTCCCCCTGCGCTGGAAAGGAGGAATCTGGTGCTGGGAGGACTGCCTGGAAGTATGTTTGTATGGGCAGGCACCCCCAGCAGAACAAGAGGGAGAGGAATGTCAGGCTCCTTCCCTCACCTTGGTCCTCTTTACTGAGGTCATGTAGCCGTAGAGGTCAACTCCCCGTTTATTCTCCCCCCTACTCCTCCCTTCCCTCCCTCGCCCTCCTTCCTCTTCCTCGTCCTCCCCCCTTCCGTGCCGCCCCCCCCTCCCTTTCTCAAGGCCCTAAACCCCGAGGGCGAGGAGAATCATTCGAGGCACCTCATCCCTCTACCGAGGGGCCCTCCCTTCCTTTCGCCCCTCCCCACCTCCACCGCCGCCCTCGTCGTCCCCGCCCCGCCTGCCCCCCTCCCTTCTCCCCCTCCTCATCCCCGGCCCCCTCCCTCCTCGTCAGCCCAGTCGTATGGACTTCGAAAACCCAGTTACCCTGCCCATGTTTATTCGGGCAGCAAAATAAGCGCTAGATGGCAGCAGCCCCAAATCATCTGCCGCCGCCAGCGCCTCCTAGGAGCCACCATGACTCAGACGCAGTAGTCAGTTGCGATGGTCTCTCCTCGCCAGCCTCTCTTGAGATCCGACATTGCGAACAACTGCAAAACAAACGAAGAAACACAGCCAGAGCCGAGCCCATGACCCCATATCATATCTCTCCGCGACACTTCTCAAGCCAGATCGACCTGCGAGGGTCTCGGGGCCGAGGCCAGGCCCAAATGCCCGGCGTGAGCAAAGTTGCAATGCCCGGATGGCATGGTTCCAGCGCGCCCTAGACACGCGACGCCATGATTTGTTCACAGCGTCGACCCATTCCCGGGACCGGCTGTTTGTCCCGAGCTGTTTTCTTACGTTCGCTTTCGCCGCCGCAGCCCGCCGTCGTCGAGGGCCCGCCGCCGCCCCCGCTCGGCAACTACGATGAGTGTGGTTACGCCAGGGTGTTGTTTGCGATCGGCGCCGTTGGAGCCTGAAGAAGGCACACCACGCTGCGCCAAAGGTCCGATGAGCCGTCGTCAGGGTGCGGCACAGATTCAGGAAGTAAAAACAGGCACAGACAAATAAAAACGTCCAGCTCCATGAAATGAAGGGAAGCCGTATGAAAAGAATGGAGAATCCCGGGGTGTGTGCCTATCTATTCGTGTGTCCCTGGGCCCCTTTCACAGATCTCGGTCGAGGCCCTCGCCCGCCCCCCCCCCCCCGGGGCGCGGGTTGCAAACCACACCCGCTGCAAAGACCTCACCCTTCGGAAGTTCTCCCAGCCCGCAGAGGCCCACCGCCTCGAGCCCGAGGGCCTGCGCCGGCTCCTCGAGCTGCGCGCCGTGGCGCCCTGCGCCGCGCCCCCCGCGCGCGGGCCTCAGCGCCGCGCCGCCCCGCAGCGACGACGACGACGACGACGACGTGTCCCGGCCGAAGGCTTTTTCCTTCACGGCGCTTCACTAGAGGACCCTGATCGGAGTTAGAAGGGACTACAGAAGAGTCCCACAGGGGGGACCGCCCCCCTTGTGGCCTTCGGTGTGGCTCCCCATGTGGCTCCGAAGCGTGTACGCGGTGTGCCAAAACGACATGGGGGACGCTACGTGGCATCACCACCTGGGGGCTTCTTTGGAGCTCCCTCTGGGGCCACTGAACGTGCGAGAGGTGTGCCGACATTGGCTGGGGAATGCTATGCGGCAGCACCTCCTGGTAGCTTCGGTGGAGCTCCCTGAGACGGCAGGCTCGTTCCTGAGATCCTCAGCCGCCCTCAGCAGGCGTTGGGATACCTGCGTCTGCCCTCCGAGGAAGGCTCTCATCACGAAGGACCACTCCTGCCGGTGATCCTCGAGTCCGTCGACAGTGAGCGGCTTGAGGCCGCCTCCCGGCCACTCGACGCTTGGCGTCATTGCTGCGGTCTACTTGCTAATTCCGCCCAGCTGCTTCCCGAGCGCCTTTGGCTGCTCGGTTGTGCCCGAGCCCCTTATGGCGGGCTTCGCCTCGCCTCCCTATACCTTTGTACCGTCTGCAGTGGATCGCCCGCGATGGCGCCGTCACGCGCGCGCGGGGAGGCCAGAGCCGCTGGAGGGGGGGGCACCAGCTGGAGCTGATCTCGGCCAGCTCCGCTACCATGATGCTTTTCATGCCAAGGAGGCTGCGGAATGCGCACACACTTGCACATCTGCCACGCTACCTAATCCACGTGTTTCCTGTAATGCAACTGCCCTCGGCCATGCATGCTACACATTAGCTCAACACCCTCGCATGTCGATTCCCCTCGGGGCCCACATTTCAGTGGTGGGCCCAACCAGTTGTTGAGGATCGCCCGATGAGGGGCCAGGGGCAGTTCCCACCAAAGGAACCTGTTGAGGGCATGCTTTTCTCACAGGAGTGCTCTCAGTTTCCGTGCGATGGACCGCGTTGCTTTCCAATCGGCCGTGCGCCCCAGTGTGCACTTCGGCCTGGCAGGGTGCTGGAAGTGTGAGTGGAGCAGGACAATGGTTGTGAAGGCGGAGAGGGAAGAGAGAGGAGGAGGGGGGCGAGGAAGGGTTCGGAAAGGCGATCGTCTCTGATGTTCATGTTTTTGGCGGGGTGGGCGTCATCCTTCCCCATTCTCCTCAACACCGTTATCGTCGTCGTCATCATCATCATCATCATCATCATCATCATCATCATCATCATCATCAGCAGCAGCAGCAGCATCATCATCATCTCCGTAATTAGCCATTTTTGCTCAAACCGTCATCCTTTTGGCTCCTCGAGACCGCCTGCGTTTCGGCCGAACCCTCGCTCCTCGGAAGAGCTCATGGCGTCCAAGGCCCTCATGGTGCCCGCCGTGTTCGGCTGCGCCGCCGCCTTCGTGCCCGTGGGGCCCCAGCTGCGCGCCACTGGCGCCGTGGTGGGCCAGGACGCGGCGCAGATGCCTAGCGCCGCCCCTGCCGCGGTACCAGCGGTCGGCGGCGCCGTGTCCGCGTCGATGGCGGTGGCCGGCGCAGCCGCCCTCGTCGCGGGCGGCGTGCGAGCCCGACGCGCGGGGAGGCCGGCGGCGGCGCGATCGCAGCGTGCAGTGGCGTGCAAGGCGGAGAACCCCCGCGTGGCGGCGCTGCGCTCGGGGAAGAAGTCCGTGAAGATCTCGCCCTCCATCCTTTCGGCCGACTTCTCGCGCTTGGGGGAGGAGGTCGGAGATGCCCTCAAGGCCGGCGCGGACTGGGTCCACATCGACGCGATGGACGGCCGCTTCGTGCCCAACATCACCATCGGGCCGCTGGTCGTGGACGCCCTCCGCAAGAAGTACCCCGACGCCGTGATGGACTGCCACCTCATGATCGTGGAGCCCGAGAAACGCGTCGAGGACTTCGCAAAAGCCGGGGCCGACATCATCTCCGTCCACGTCGAGTCCGCGTCGACGATCCACCTGCACAGGACCATCCAGAGCATCAAAGCGCTGGGCTGCGCTGCCGGGGTCGTCCTCAACCCCGGCACGCCCCTGTCGGCCATCGAGTACGTCTTGGAGGAGGTCGACCTCGTCCTGATCATGTCCGTTAACCCCGGCTTCGGCGGCCAGAGCTTCATCGAGAGCCAGGTCGACAAGATCAAGGATTTGAAGGCCATGTGCAAGGCGAAGGGCGTGGACCCGTGGATCGAGATCGACGGCGGCGTCGGCCCTGCGAACGCGTACAAGGTCGTGGAGGCGGGCTGCAATGCCATCGTCGCCGGCTCCGCGGTGTTCAACGCCCCCGACTACGCGGCGGCCATTGAAGGCATCCGCGCTGCCAAGGCGCCCGTGGCCGCCTGAGGGCGAGTCCGCAGCTGATAGTTAGCGACGGCAATTTTCCGTGGAAGCAGGGCTGAAGGCTGTGCTGATCCTGTCTTTGCGTGACTGGCCTAGCCTTTGATACTAGGCTAGCGGCTAGATTATTCTTCTTGCGAAGGCCTTACGGCCGGTGCCGCCGACCCTGAAGGGGGACGACGACGACGACGACGACGACGACGACGACGACGATGACGACGACGACGACGACGACGACGACGCTGACGTGGGTCAGTGTCCTCAGGGATTATGTTTGGGGTCTCTTCGGAGCGCAATCTTCGGAGCCTCTTGGGAACCTCTTGGGGCTTCCTGGGGGCCTCTTGGGGACCTCTCGAAACCTCTTGGGTGCCTTTGGGGGACCTTTAAGGGCCTCCTGAGAGCCTCTCGGGACCGAGGGCTCGAAATGTCTGTTTGGTTCCCCTGTCCGGGTACCCTCTTGGAGCCTCTTGGTGGCCTCTTGGGCCGTCTGCAGGCGTCTTAGGGCCGTCTTCGGGCCCTCTTTGGCCCGTTTCGGGACCCTCTCGGAGGCCTGTTGGGGCTATCGTTGGAGTTTCGTTGGTTTTTTTGGAGCGTCGGGAAGCTGAAAAGGCAGAAACGCCCAGATCCTTAAAAACTTGGCTCTCTTGGGAGTGCTCTTCGAGGCCTCTTGGGGCGTCTTCCTGCCCTCTTGGGCCGTCTGGAGGCCGTGAAGACGTCCTGGACCGATCGCCCCAGGAGGGGGTGGCACTCTGACCCGGGACCCCCCCTATAGTAGTATCGGGGATACTGCCGGGTTTATCGTCGTAGACGCTCCTTGTCAGTGCTGTTGTCCTTTTGCAAGTGTCCAGTGTGACGAGCAATATCAAGATATGATTCAACATGGAATGGGCGCCTCCCGCGCCCGGGATATGAAGAGGGGCGCCTCCCGCGCCTAGTCCTGCATAGGAAAGAGCCGATACACCGTCGGCTCAAGAGCCCGCTCTGGAAACAGAGCCACAACGCCAGCAGAACTCTCATTGATGCACATGCCCGTGCTCACTGCTGTCCTCTCTCTCTCCGCTGGTGCTGAGATGCCCTCCTGGCCACCGTATTTACAGCAACACGGGTGAAGATTCTTCATCTCGGAAACAAACACTCGTCTTGGCCTTCGGGTCCGACTCAAGAATTCCCTTACCCGCTCCCTTGCGCTTTCGCGAGCTAATGAACTCAGGGTCGTGAGCCAACTTTCACCTACCAGAGAGAATCACGGCCATCAGGGGCTCGAGGGACTTCGCATCAATTTTCGTGAAACCGTCCGCTGGGTTTGCTTCGGAATGGGCCCATCATCCAAAGCTCCTCCGTCCTGGATGTCTTGGCGGCAAGCAGTAGATTCGATCGCCATATATTTGTCCGTGAGGCCGATGGCGCTGCTGTCGCACATGGCCATCGCGTCGTAGGTCGGCTTGCAATCGACCACCGCAACGGCTTCGACATCGCGTAGAATGCTCGATGAGGGTCGTGAACCAGTCCCTGTTCGAACTCGTACATGGCCAGCCCTACGTAGTCCATTTCTCCGACAATCTCGCTGTGAGTTCGCGTTTCGGCCGACGGTGTAGATCTCGCCACTCGTGGGAGTTCCTTACTTTCCCATAGAATGAAAGAGACTGGGCTGAATTCCTCGTCTAAGGACTCATTGTTGACTACGCAAACCAGCCTTCCGCCTTGACTTGAAACATCTGCTCGGTTTGCCCACCCAGCGTCTGCAAAACATGCCACCCTCGCTGAGGTACGGGCGTAGAAAAAAAAAAACGGGAACGTGGGCATGCTGCTGAGCACATCTGACCAACTTGTTGAGATCCGGCAAGAGTTGTCCGTCAGCCTTGCTTTCTCTGCTCTTCATGACGGAGATCTCTGCACATAGCCACGGCGTTGTGTTCTGCCCAAGCCACGACAGAGCTCCAACAACCCCGTGGATCTGGACCTTTCTCCGTCTAAGGGGGCGTCGAATCGTCGGGCTCGCCGCTCCTTGGGGATGATCATGCACTCGATTGCCAGGGCGTGCTCTCTTTGTTTTCTCTCTCTCTCTCTCTGTCTCTCTCTCTCTCTCTCTCTCTCTCTCTATCTCTCACTCACTCTCTCTCTCTCTGCGAAATAGACATGTGTCCGTCGGCATGCTGTGATATCTGTACTCCACAGTTCACGTGTGTGCTGGCTTCCCGTCTGCCGAATTCGTAGAGCTTCTCGATGGCCTTGAGCGCGTCGTAGGACTCCTCGTAAGACTCGTTGAACGCCAGCTCGAAGTCGTCCACGTGCGCCAGGGCCGCACCGATCAGCCTCCCGTTCCGTTATAGACTCCACACGCATGGTTCGGCAGCGGTGTGCAACCCATCCGAGCTCCTTGAGGTCGCGGCATCTCCTTCGCCACCACTTGCGAGGGGCGGTCGCCAGGCCGCACACCGCCTCCTTGATCTGCAGCACGTCGCCGGGCCGCATGCCGAGAGCCTCGACTAATTAGCTCCTTGACTGGCCCCGCGAACACCTCGCCATCGGCAACCATCGGGTCGCCTTGGACGAACGCGGCCCTGACGTCGCCCTTGATCAGGCGCATCGCGTCACGAGCAGCCTTCCAGTGAAAGAGGTTACGAGCCCGTCGTGATGGCGTCGGACTCTCCGTCTTCTGTTCCAGCAGCCTGGGATGTTTGAAACCCAGAACCACTAGACGCGCCTTAGCACTCCCATCATCCTTCCAGGTCAGTGCCAACCGCATCTTCATCGGCAAGTCGCGGTTGACTGACGGATGTTCCCATTTGATCACCTCGGTGGTCTCGTGCTTGAACCATTCCGTGATATTATCGTGCTTCGCCTGGCTGAACAGCTCCAGCCCGCCCCTGTCCAGATCTCGCGGGCGCGCCTCCACGCGATCTCGTCGAGCTTGGTTCGCCGCGCAGATGCAAGGCTTCCGCGGGAAGTGCTTCGCGTTGTCGAGCGCGTGCGCCGCCTGGCAGGCGCGGAGGGCGAGGCGCGATGTCGGTGCGAAGCACGGTCTTACACTCCACCCGAGCACTCTTCAGGCCCGACCAGAAATGGCGGCGAGAAAACGATCGCAATGTGGACGGAGGACCGCGATTTTGCATGCGAGAGTGCGCTTGGCAAGCTGGCGCCGCCGCGTGGCGGCAGCAGCGCGAACGTCGCTGGATGCGCCGGCGCGCGGCCGAGCGCTCTGAGGAGCCAGGAGGCGGCCATGATCCCCAAGCCTTCTGGGGAGGGCCTCCGCTTGAGTTTCTTGCTGCGCTGCAGCGCAGAAATCGCCATTGACCGCCGCGGCTGGGGGAGATATTTCGGCGCCGCCCTGCGCCGTAGATGCGTAACAGCTGCAGGCATTGATCGTTGCGCTGGATCCGACAGATCGCTCACGCGCACGCACAGCTCGGAACACATTCAATAGCAAACGGTTCCACTGCTTGAGTTCAGTGCCGTTGTACAATCAGAAGTATAGATCGTGGTTGTGGAACTCCGCTGACGCATGCTGACTTGGTATGTTTCGTGTTGAATTTCGCTGAATTCCGCAACTCGCAACTTAATGTCAAATTCAGAACCAGTGATTGTGGAATGTCGCTTTGATTTTTGTCAATCGATTGATTTGTTCCAATGCCGTTCGGGGCCCACTGAAAAATCAATGGATACGATGTCAGGGGTTTGGGTCGCGCAGACAGTCGCCAAGGCCTTCGAGAAGGTTAGGATTCAGAAGTACGTGCGCTGGGCCGAGCAGGTGCAGCCCGCCAACGCCACCGCCACCGCTGCTGCGTTGCTCGTTGATTTCACTATCGACGAGGCCTATGAGGACGACGCCGGCCTTGTGGTCCGGCAGAGCGACCTTAGCAATTGCACCACGCGGCTGCAAGGCGAGCTCGCCGCGCAGGTGGCGGGTCTCTTCGGCGTGCATGACAAGGACGCCGCCTTCTTGTTCTGGGACGATAGCGCCCGCGACGCCGTCGCCAAGGCGGCGGGATGAGCCGGCGACTCCATGGTCCCGGAGCGCGGCCTCGCGCAGGGTGGCCCAGGTTCGCCGTTCGGGGCTGCCGTCTCTGCTGGGGCACACGCCAGGCGACTCGCCGCGGACCGCGACATCACGTTCACCACGCACGTGGACGACATGACCATGATTGCCAACACCCCGCAGGAGGCGGAGTCGGCCGTCGACGCGCTCGCCTACCTCAAGTGGCTCAGCGGTCAGGAGGAGGACCCTGGCAAGTTGGTAGTGCTCCCGCCAACGTCCAGGGCAACTACCAGAGCTACGTGGACGCCCTCAGCGTCCGCCTGGACCGTTCTGGGGCGGACCCTCCAGAAGCTGCCCCGCGGGCCCTGCGCCGGGCCCAGGAGCTCCTCGCGCGGCCCACGAGGATCAAGAGAGTAAGCCAGGCGGCTCGCCTGCCGCGGCGCTGGGCGCGGCAGATCGTCGTGGCCAACGTCGGCATCTTGCGCCGGGGCGCGCCGCGGTGTGTCCTGCCCGACAAGACCCTCCAGTCCCTGCGGGCAGCCCTGGAGACAGCCCTCGCGGGGCGGCGCCGGTGCGCCTCCTGGAGACACCGAGGGGCCGCTTGGAACGCATCGCCCAAACGTGGAAGATCGAACCCATGGGCGCGGCTTTGCACGCGGCTGCGGGCATGCCCAAGCGCGCCCTCGGCGGCCCCCTGGAGGCCTTCGTCCGCCAGCGGCGGAGGCCGGCCCAGCCAGCAGCTCGCCCGTTTGTTGGGTGGCTGCCGCGGACCCGCGAGTTCTTGGATTCCATGGGCTGGCGCGCGGTCACTGACCGATTTGCGGTGGAGATCGGCGACTTGAACTTCTCCCACGCGAACACGACCCGCCCTTGTCTCGACCGCGTGGCGCGGGGGGCCTGGCGTTCATGGACGACGAAGGCCGGCGAGGCGAAAGTCAACCGGCAGGACGTGGTCAACGTCCCCCGACTCGATTTCCTGGACAGCTACGCAAACGGCCCAGATCACAGCCGGGCCCGGTGGCACGTCGTC